GGCGATTCAAATGAATCATAGATCATTAAAATTCAATCACTGGTTGTTAAGATAATGTAGTTTAAAGATCATGTTTTGGAGCTGCCTAAACACTTTTAGCAGGTTGGTGTATAGCGTTTGATTTGGTTAATGGTTATTCGGTTCCAACAAAATTTCTATTTTGAAAAGGCGGACGTCGTATCCATAATCTAGATCAAGCAGTATTTCTATCAATATGTCTACAAATAAAAGGTATATAATAAATAACATACGATAAGCCATATCTTGATATCTCTATATTTATTTTTGTTATTTGACCCATCAAGTACAATAACACGGGTACATAAAAAAAATGAGTCAAAGCTTTACCAGCTTTAATGTTTAACTCCAAAACCTCAATTCATCATGACTCAACATGAATCAAACTGAAATTATATATATAACAATCTAAGATCTATTATTGGAAGGAAAAAAATTTTTTTTTCTAGCTTATACAATTTTAAATATACAGATTCATTATTAAAATGCAGGTGTCATTGAATTGTATTCTCTTAGGAAAGGCTCTTTCCGATATTTTTACGATTGATGTTGGTCAAGAATGTGATATTGATGGAAACAGATTTCGTTTTGATGAACTCAAGATTTCACATCTCAAGTATCTTATTTGGAAGAAAAAAGAAATGAAACAACACTTCGATGATTTTGACATTATGAAACTGTAGAAAACTGCCTTCAATCTCCTCAATCCTGAACTTTCCGCCGAAGAGAAAATTAGAAATAACGACAATGAGTTAATACCTTTCAGGCCTTTGAAAGAGTATTTTCCAGATATTAATACAGCTGATAAATATCTCATTATTATAGAAGTGTCTGATAAGTGTCTCCCAATGGTTTACCTCTCAAACAAGAAATTTTGTAATTATAACTAACTTATTTTATTTCGTATTTGCTTTCAACACAACAGACGCACCTAAAGAGGGAATATCAAGGCTAGGTGTAAAGCTATTGTCTTTTAATTTTTGCGCTAATGTACATTTGATTCATATTATTTTTCTATTTTGCATTGAATAGGAGGTCTCGGAGGAACAACATACTAAGGACTGGAAAATGGTTCTTTCTATGAAGGCGTTAATCTTAATAGTGCTTCTATATGTCAGAGAGAACCAACTATCAACAAACTGCTTGAAAGTCTGCTTAAAGAACGCATCATTTTAATTTGATCACCGTCCATGACCGGAAAAACATCCCTTGGACAGCTACTTGAAGCTAAGTTGCTCTAATTAGATGAAGTGCAAAATGGATCAGCTCGTGTTTTTCATATTTTGTTGATATGGATTGAAAAAATGACTACTTCATGAACATTTTCAGAAGGATTTGAAAAACTTTTAAGGATAAATTGGGATGATTTTCTTGATCAATGTGGTCATAAAAAAACATATTTGATTGTCGATGAAGTTCAAAAAATATATAGACGATCAGATGGAGAACCTCATCATGATGGAGGTGTGTTTTGGAATTCATTTAAACGTATAATGCAAAATCTACAGCTTTTTATTGTAGCATTGGCTTTTTACAGACATTATGGTGCTTATGCCACTCGTGGAAATCGTTCAGCCATGGATATATCACCAGTTAATAATCTTACTGCAAAGAACAAATGGGGATATAAAGACGTTTGTTATACTGAAGAAGAATTTAAAAACTATTTTGACCGATTCTGTGGAACGTATCTTAAAGAAGAGCTGGTAAAAGATGACATTCCATGTCTTTTTAGCTATTTGTCTGAAATAACAGCCTATAATCTAGGCTTAATTGCTTATACTATGGATCATATTGGAGAAAGATTTACCAAAAGGGGCAATAATTCTCTATCATTTGATACAATTTTTTCTTATTTAAAATCTCAAGACTTTGATGATCTTTTTAAGGTAATGTGATATATTTTTATTATAATAACTAGTATGTTTACTAATTTGTATATAGTGTACAGTGTACCTTTCCAGACTATTCGTGCATTTTCTCCAGTTACTGATCTTTCAGACGAGGAAAGGGAAATTGTTGATTCTGTGCTCTTTAAAAAAGGAGGTCTAGATTATGAAATAGAGAAAATTCCAAATAATGGCTGACTTCTTAAGACAAATGTACAGTCATATTACAAAGTGACGCCCAATTTGAAATTACAACCAAATGTCACATTATTTATTGATTTATTTCAATTTTTTTCATTACATATATAAAAAAAAAACTAGTATTTTGTTGGCCCACCCCTTGCTTCTAATACTGCATTAATTCTTCATGGCATTGAAGTAGCAAGCTTCTCAAAAATAGACCCATCCAAATCTTCCTATTCCTGCTTTAATGCAACTTTGAGTTTATTTACAGTTCTTGGAAAGACCTCCTGACTTTGAATATTATCCTTTAATAACTTCCAAATGTTCTCTATTGGGTTTAAATCAGAGGAATTTGCTGGTTTGTAATTTTCGTGGTATGTATGGGTGCATTGTCTTGTTGAAAAACTGCTGGTCTTCCCGTTAATTCACGTACTGTACTTTGAAATGGAA